AGCTCAGTTTCTTAAGTTTCTTTTTCTCCTGGGAGGCAATGTCTAAAAATAAGAGTAAGAGAGATTTCTGATCCTTTTCTAGTTCAAACGGTGTAACCTTGGGCAAGTCTGCCTTTCCGAGCCTGTCTGCTCACCTGGAAAATACGTGCCCTCCCTGCCTACCCCAGAGGACTGTGTGGACATCAGAGGAGATAATGGCACAGAGCCACTGGTTAGAGAGTGTTTAAAGGGACATACCCACCCCTGGGATGGGAAATCATAAGTCTGTGACCCATGGGAAGGATTTTGGAGCCTGAATTAACCAGACACTACCAAAGAATACCATTTCCTTTCCCTCCTGTTTTCTTGGAATTTGGCTCTGGTTAATGAAGGGTATTTATTTATAACTAGTTCACCCAGGTCTATTGAGGTGTGAAGTCTCAATTTAGATGCTTAGACCAAAAAGACCATGCTCACCTGCTGTCTATATAAAACACCTGTGAACTTAGGCGAAAATGTTTCTTAGTCTCTTTCCCCTGCTAGAGTACCTTTCTGAGGGCAGTTCTCTGTCTTATTCACAACAGAAGACCCAGCCCCAGCATGGGCCCTGGCACATAGCAGATACTAAATTTACTGAGTAAGAAGGCGATGTTGAAACCACCTACTTGTCTTTCGAGCCTCATCTCAGATCAATTGTCCACTTCCTGCCATGGGCCATAGTTACGTGAGTCCATATTTAGGCTCCTCTAGTGGGTGTGAATTCTTTGTTTTGTTTATCTCCATATGTATCACCTTCCTCTCATGCCGAGAGAGGCTGGCACAGAGGGGTGCTCAACAGATATTTTCTGAGTGAATGAGGACCTATAGAAATGAAGCCCTTGTATTTATTCAATGAATATTCATTGGGAAATGATTACTGCCTAGGTACTGCCCTATGCACTGGGAGAGACACAAGACAGACACAGTCTCTGTCTTCATGGAGCTTACAACTGAGCAGGAAAGACGGACATTAAAGAATAATCATAGCCCTAGCTGGCATAGCTCAGTGGATTGAGCGCGGGCTGCGAACCAAAGTGTTGCAGGTTCGATTCCCAGTCAGGCTACATGCCTGGGTTGCAGGCCATGACCCCCAGCAACCGCACATTGATGTTTCTCTCTCTCTCTTTCTCTCTCCCTTCCCTCTCTAAAAATAAGTAAATAAAATCTTTAAAAAAAAAGAATAATTATAGAAACAGTTAATTCACTACAATTAACTTAAGTACTGAGAAGGACAGACTATCTTATGAAAACACATTACTAGAACACTTAACCTAATACACTGTAGGGGTCAGGATAGGTGCCCCTAACTGAATGACATATGCATTAAGACCTTGAAGATAATTTGGAGTTAGCTAGACAAAAGAGGGAGAGAGGGAAGAGAAAGAGAGGAGCAAAAGAACATATGAGGTCTGTCCAGAAAAAGTCTGGCCATTGTTAATATAATGAGAACGGTTTGTGTGACATCAATGTAATGTGGCAGCCGAGAAGAGGGGACTGGAATGCACATGTGTGAACAATGACGACTTCACTGTACCAGTCAGCGGGGGTGGTAGATACTACTGAATGAGCATGTGTCCTGTGTGGCCATCGCATTTAAAATCACTGAGTGAGCAGAGCACCAAATCTGCACCAAATTGAGATAAGCTTGAACATTCCTCCACAGAAACTACTTGGATGATTCAGAAGGCTGCAGCTGCGGGCAACTGGTGATTGGCAGCTTCATCACGACAACGTGCCTGCTCATGCATCATGTCTTGTGCAGTATTTTTGGTGAAACATCAAATCACCCAGGTGACTCACCCCCACACAGCCCACAGTTGCCACCCTGTGACTTCTGGCTTTTTTCAAAACTAAAATCACCTTTGAAAGGGAGGAGATTTCAGACTGTTGATGAGATTTAGGAAAATACAATGGGGCAGCTGATGGTGATTGGGAGAACTGTGTGAGGGCCCCAGGTGCCTACTTTGAAGGGGACTGAACATCACTGTCCTATGTACAGTGTTTCTTCTATATTGTATCTTCTTCAACAGATGTCCCTGTTTTCATATTACATGACTGGATACCTTCTGGACAGACCGTGTATATTCCAGGTGAAGGGAAGAGCCACAAAGCACAGCACAGACGAAACCCAGAGGCAGCAAATGACACAGTGCCTTATGGAAGTGAAAGAAGGTCAGTGTGTGTGGAGAGCTGGGGTGGGGCAAGTAGCAAGAAATGAGGCTGGAAACTTTGTCCAGGACCTGCCTCCAGGAAAGACCATGAAAAGCTGAATTAAGTACAAAGGGCTAGTATGAAAGTTCACTCATTCATTCATTCAATATTTACTGAGCACCTCCTACCTGCCAGGCACTGTTCTAGATGCTGAAATGACAAGGTCATATTTGGTTTTGAAATAGGACTCTGTACCTACAGTGTATACAATGGTTCAGGGGCTGGGGAGGCAAAAATAGATGCCTTTGAGAAGTGTAACACCCTGGAACATAAACCAGACTGAGATACGTTGATGAATGGACACAGAGAACATTCACAAGTTTAAATAGGAACACGGGCACTACAGTTATTAAGCTAAATAACTCACCAAGGTGAGAAATCAAAATTCATGGAAAGAACTCTGACTGGATATTGACTTATAGAATATTGAGAGTCTCCCAAAGTCTGGTAAAAGAACTCTTCCAGTTCACACACCTGGGTTCCTCCACGCAGAAATAAAGAGGACTGTGTGTGTGTGTGTACTTGTACCAGGTGCCAGCCTAACAGAACCCTCACAAACCGCCCCGGGGAGCAGCCTACCCCGTTGACAGATGATGGAATCTGGGCTCAGAGTTCCACAACTGTCCCAAGCTCACACAGAGCACAGGTGGCCTGGCTGGGATTTAGAGGTGAGGCCGAGAACTCCACGCAGGCAGGAAGCGAGTCTGTCTCATTCGCTGCTGTCAGTGCAGAGTTATCCTTCACTGTACGTGGAATAAATGACTCTGACTGTAAAGCTCAAGCTCCTAATACTTCCTGACTATTATATAGGAAGAAAGCTAAAAGTGTTGATTGATATAAATGCTGGAACATGAAAAGCGAAGGACGTGAAGCCTGCGGAAAGGATCTGCCAGGTGAAAGGGGCTCAGGAGCGGCCTTTGAGAGGAGGGGGACCCAGCGCTACGGAATGAAGCAGATGGCAGATAAGACAGCTGGCAGATGGAAGTCTCTGTTTCTCTGGCCTTTGAGAGTAAGACTCAGCAGCTGCCACCAGGCAAGGAATGTGACAAGGTCTAAGGGAAAGAAGCTCTTACCTGAAGGCTCCCAGGCCATGCGAGAAGATGATCAAGGGGTATCCAGAGTCCTTTGTCTTAAAGGGGCCATTCCAGCTAACAGGCAGGCGACAAGACCCTAGCAGAGACATGGGCTATAGAATCTCTGGCTGCCCCAAAGCTGTGATCCCAAGGGCAGCCTGGGCACAGGCAAGTGTGGGAACATAGGTCCCTCCTCTCTGGAGGATCACCATGTATCCCTGAGCAGTCTGGGGAAACCAATCACCTTTTCATTTCCCCTCTTCGCTCCTAGAAAGCATGAACACGATAGAAAATAGGACGATAAATCCAAATGGGAAGTACTGAACCACCAGGGGGTAAATCCTTGAGATGCCAAGGCAGTAGGTAGAGCTCCTAAGGGTGGGGCCTCTGGGGAAAGTGGATGATTCAATGTGACCCCACCTACAAGAGCAGAGAGCTGGCGGGGAACTGCAGGGGGCAGTATGTTCTCTGGCAGTTACTGCTCCTTTGATCTACACGGCTGGCACAGAGTGGGGATTACATGCCGAATGAACGAGTCATAGCCACCCCTCTTGCAACACGTTCTCTGCCCCACACTACATTAGAGGCTTTACATACTTCCCGGAGCAGCCTGCAAAGGCAGGCGTCCGGGCAGGCTGCACAACTTGCCCAAGTCCTACAGCTAATAAGTGATGAAGTCTCGACTCAAATCCAGGACAGTCTAACTCTAATAAAAGCTCATATAATTCTCTCCCCATGCTCTTACTATATAATTCTCTCCTCACTCCCCACCCACGGCTGGCTAATGGATGTCCCACTACAAAAGAGCTGGACAATGCAAGCTATAAGGTACTGTGTCTGCCCGGGGGTCTCCTAGGAACGTAACCAAGAAGCTGGGAATGCATGTAGGGCATCTAGAGGCCAGCTCTTACCCACAGCCAGGTTGAAGAGCAAACCCCACCAGCGCTTATTGAACTGCAGGTAATCAGCCAGGCCAGTGCAGTACTCATAGCGGGGAATCCACAGGGGCTGCTCTGCGGTCTCCTCTGCCTCCTGGCAGGGGTAGAAGAGTCGGAAGAAGCTCCCCTGTGGGGAAGAAGAGAGCAGATGCTCAGAGCAAGATGCCCAAGCGCTGCTTAGGAGGTGTCTGGGGCACCAGCAAAGCATCAAAATGGGAAAACCTTATTTTCAATTTATACATCTGAATTTTGTATTCAGAAAACCCAGAAAGAAGCAACTTTATTCTTAGAATACACATGAAGCTTATGTTATTTCAAATAGCCAACTGTAGTTTGAATGACATTTGGGGGGGCACCAAAATCTTTTCAGTGCTTGCGACACTGAAAGATTTAAATCTGGCCCCGCACCCAGGCCTGGGGGAACCCCGGAGTGAGAGATTAGCCCTCATGTTGAAAGGGGCGGCATCGGCGGGTCGCCCCCGGGCTGGCCCTGGGGAAGCAGCACTGCAAGCCTTTCCCCCAGGAGTAGGTGAGAGGTGGGCCAGGAAGTGTGCGCCTCTCACAAGGGACAGGGGCGTCTAAGGGCCAGCAGAGAAGGAGCCTAGGAACTGGAGGAGGAAAAGTGTGGAACTGAAGCAGGAGGGGAAAAGAAACGAAGGCAGGAGAAGAGAAAGAGGAGACTGCCTTCCCCTCCAGGGTGGGAGTCACAGGCCAGGGCACACGGTCCACTGCTCTTCCTCTCACAGGTGCAGGTTAGTCTGAGATCAGTAACTTTTCCCAGATCAGGCATCTGCTCTTAAGACGGGTGGAAGGATCTGAAAGCTGGCTTTGAAGCCAGGGCCCCCTTCCCTCTAACTGGGAGAAGAACTTATCATCTCTATTGAGAGGTTTCCAATCGGAAGGAGGAAGGGAGAGGTCAGGGAAGACAGACCCGGGAGCTCTACAAGCAGATCCAGACCAGCTCTAACTCAGTTTCCCCCGCTGGAATCGCAGCACCAGACTGGCTGTCGGAAGTCACAGGGCGGGCAGAGGCAGTGCAGAAGAGCGGACGGAGCTGCAGACACTTACCTGGGGACTCTGGCCCTCCATCACATCCCCGCAGCCCACGCGGTGGGGTCCCGAGGTAGGTGGAAAGCCCACGGACTGGTTGACCCCCATCTCGTCACCAGCTGAATCGGACAGTGACCTGGGCTGCAGGGTAGAACACAGAACAACCTCTTTCTGGTTCCCTCTTGGCTTCCTGTGGCTTATGTGTGTCATCTGTCACCCCTGACCACCCCTCCTTATCGCCCCGTCCTCCCTGCCAGTGACTCATTCAATCTTTCACATCATCTGCTTTGCTGCATCGCCTTTGCCAAGGTTTAGGGGCTGCTTTTTCTGTTGCTGGGGGAGGGAGTGGAAAGACGTCTGTGAAGAGCAGAGAGCGAGTGCTTCCACGCTTCTCAAAACCCACCAGTAAGTGCTTACTTTGTGCGCAGCACAGCAGTCATGGCTGCCAAGAATGTAACACAGACCTTGTCCCCATGAGGCAAAGAATAACAACTACTTAGGTCTGTTATTTACTGTGTCAGCATTGAACTTAGATCTTCACATACACTACGGCATCTCATTCTCTCAAGAAACCATCTGAGGAAGGTACTCGGTTAATTAACACCCTGTTTGAGAGGTGAGGAAGCTAAGGTAAAGTGAGGTTGAGTAACTTTGCCAAGTCACATTCTTATGGGTGGCAAGGCCCAAGCCTGTCTGATCCAGACCTGAGCTCTTAGCCCTTACTGATCCTGCTCACGGGGAGACAGCCGACCTTTGAACAACATGGATTTGAACTGCACGGGTCTGCTTATACACAGACTTTTCTCGATAAGTATATAGTTGGCCCTCCATTTCTCTGGGTTTTGCATCTTCAGGTTCAAATCAACAGCAGATCAAAAACAGCATTTTGGACCCCTGCCTGGGAATCTGCAGATGCGGCGGGCCGACTGGATGCGTTGTTCTAAGCCATTTTATGTAAGAGATTCGAGTGTCTGTAGACATTGGTGTCTGTGGCGGGGGTGGGGGCTGGGGAGGGTCCTGGAACCAATCCCCTGTAGATATTGCAGCACCACTGCAGTTAAGTTTTTGGGAAGTTGAAAGTTACCCATGGATTTTCGACTGCATAAGGGGGCAGCACCCCCAACTCCTGCATTGTCCAAGGGCCAACTGTATAGTTACAAAATCACTGACCCACACTGTTGGCTCTAAAGGTGGCTTATGCTGGGCCTTGAGACTGAGGAAGCCTTAGAGGCAGGGAAGAAAAAAGAAGGCATTTCCAGGCAGGACATAATGTGAGAGCGAAACGGTGGAGACAGGAAAGAGTGTGATGGAGGCAGTAGCTCAAGCAGGAGCCTGCGGCGGTGGCAGCTGCGCATGTTTCTGACCAGAAGACGTCCCTGTAACTTGGCTGCTTCCTACACTGGGGCCAAGGCCATTGCTCTGTGTCACTCTTCAATCTCATCAGCACCAGCACCACCGTCATCATTACATTTACTCTGTGCCAGGAACCACATTAAGTGCTTTACATGTATTATTTAGTTGAATCCTTTCAACAATCCTCTGAGATATTTACTGTTATCTCATCTTACAGATGAGGGAAATGATGCTTGAACAAGCCAGGTAATTTACCCAAGAACACACAGCTAGCAGAGCCAGAACTTGATCATGGGCAGTACGGCTCTGACAGGGCAGCACCTCGTCAGACTTCCCAGTATCTGCTCTCTCTCGCCCTCCGACGCAGCAGCTCTGTGGTTTGGCTGTGGCCGATCCATCCCTAACCTCCAGAGTTGGGCTAACCTGACCTGAGCCCATCAGTCCCTCATGTCCCTGGTCAGTGCTCAGATGAAGAGTGGGCACATGGCATATGTTAGTCCTATCAGAGAAAAGCCCAGGACTTTGGTTTGATGGTTAGGTTGGAAAAGCTCTTTCTTGTTTGAACTAGAGTGATGTGCAGACATGAAGCTCGAACTGTCTGTTGCAGCTACCCTGCTGCCTTGAGGATGAAGCTGCCCACAGAGGACGGCAGACCAGAGAGGATCGGAGAAACAGAGTCATATCTGTGAAGACATTAGGAATCTCTGGATTAGACTATACCTGAAACCTGACCCAATCCTAGACTTTCTAGTTACATAAATCCCCTTTTTTGTTTAAACCACTGAGTTTAGATTTCTATAGCTTGAACCAAAAGCATCTAAACTGATATACACTGAGCCCTGAGCCCACATTTTTTAATTATTACATTATTCTGTTTTCTTTAAGGTGCTCTGAGTTGGGCCCTGGCTGGTGTGGCTCAGTGGACTGAGCACCAGCCTGCGAACCAAAGGGTCGCTGGTTTGGTTCCCAGTCAGGGAGCACGCCTGGGTTGTGGGCCAGGTCCCCGGTAGGCAGTGCGTGAGAAGCACCCCCTTGCTGTTTCACACTGCAAGCACACATTGATGTTTCTCTCCCTCTCTTTCTCCTTCCCTTCCCCTCTGTATAAAAATAAATAAAATAAATAAAATAATAAAATGAAATAAAAATGCTCTGAGTTGGATCAGAGTTCAAGTCAAAGCATGTCTGGCAAGAAGAGACCTTAGAGATCATTTCTGTCAACCTTCCCCACAATGTTCTCCACCCTACCTCCACCTCCCCACTGGCCTAGTACATATTGAATACGTGTGCTTTAACGGTGGAGAAATCAAGGTCCTATGTGGTTAAGTGAGCAGCTCAAGGTCACGGGCAGAACTATTATTACACATAGACCTCCTGATTGCCAACTATCTGGTCCAGTGGAAAACTCCAAACAACCTATAATCCTAATGTCATTCCATTTAACTTTGGAAAATAATAAATGATTTTCTTTCCACTGCAGACTTCATCTTGTTTCTCTGAAGCAAATTTCAAAGGAAACCCGATTCTTTTTAAGAATCTAAGCTAAGCTCCTGGTGCAGTCAGCGGACCGTTTAGCCAGAGTAAAACTGAAGGCGTGCTGCTCGGTCTCAGACCCTGACCTTTCCCCTTGTGGCTAACGGCACACAAAAGGAAGACCTATGCTGGGGCACGAGACACACGTCACCTGCATGATAATGAAGCAGCGGAAGGTTCTCACTGTCATAAAAGAGGGTCAGATAAAATACTGCAGAAGTTCTGAGAAGAGAGCTCCTTTAGCTCGGCAGTGGAGGAGAAAATGGGAAAAGCTGACTCTCAAGTAGGAGAGCGAAAGCAGGGGGGCCAGAAAGCATACAGGAGAAAAAATGAACAGTCGGTGACGGATGCCGGGTGAAAAATGGAAGGTGTTGATCAGATCTGGACAGTAGCAGTCCCTCAAGCACCGGATTAGGGAGTTGGAATCGGCCCTGGAAATGAGGTTGTAGATACGAGGGCGATGAAGTCTGAAAAACCCAAGTCTGAGCGCCAGCTCCTTGGCTGCCTAGCTTTCTCACCTGGGGCAAGTTATCCGCTCTCTCTAAGCCTGATTCCCCGTCTGTACAATGGGAATACTATCCATCTTTATAGGGTTGCTATGGAGATAAAATGAAATAGTGCATTTTAAGCACCTAGTGTAGAACATGGCTCTTAGGAAATACCCAGGAAATATCTGTTGACGGAATGAAAAGTAGAAATAAGGTTTGGCAGCTGAGTGGATTTGGGGAGTCAGGGGAGAAAGAAGAGCCAATGGTGAGTCAGGTTTCAGAACAGGATAGAGTGATAGCAGCTTCTTATGGGAAGAGATTTTGGTCTTATCCCACAGAGACTAGTACTTGGGATTAGAATCAGGGTAAGTGAACTTAAACATAGCTAAACAGAAAGAGAGTAGAACCCTCTGGGAGTCCCGGGAAGATGATCAACTAAATTAAATTGGTAAAGAAATGAAAACTAGAGAAGCTAATTGGCCACAGTGAGGCTAACATGAAAATGAATCTGCATTCCCTGGGCTCACACTGGATGATGCCCAAATAGAATGGGGAGGTGGAAAAATCCAATCTGACTCGCAAATTTTGCCTAAGAAACATCCACACAGAGCATCCAGAGTCATTCAAGTAAATGCTATCAAAATTTCCGAGGAAATCAGCCCAGGTATCTTTACATTCTTTTGCTCACCTTATCTAAACTATTCATGGTGGTGCGTGTCTAGAAGACTCTCCGCCCTTCCAAACCTGCCTGGCTCCTCAAGGCCCCAGAAAACCCCTGGTCTTCTCTGAAGCTTCCCCTAGTCCTTCCCACCGTTCCTCCTCTCAACTCTAGGCACTGTCTGTACAGCCCCTCTCCCCGCCCCCACGGTAACCAATCACAGGCTGCCTTACAACAGGTCAGTACTATCCTAGCAGTTTCAGTCAGTGACTTGCCTACAAGCGGTCCAAGTAGAATCAAGGTCAGAGGTTCCTGAACCTGTCATCACAATTACCTGGGAAACTTCTCAAAAATACAAATTTTAGGGTCCCCATTCCCAGAGGTCAGGTTAATTTTTAAAAGTTTCCCAGTGTTTCTGATCGAGGTTTCCAAACCTCTGGTCCAGGATTTTTCTTTTATTCAGACATGTGTGCATGCGTCATGTGCTGAGAGTTCCATTCCACCATTTTCATACAGGGCCCCAGTTCATTTTCATATTAATGAAGTGATAGCTATGATTTAATTTGGTTTAATCCCATGACCACCAGAAGCATATGCCTGCTATTCACTAGGCTCAATGCAGTGCCCTGCAATAACAGGTCTTAATAATCAACTTATCCAATACGTGCTAATTTTTTACACACTTATGCCTTACCTCTTCAGATATATTATAGACTGTATTTTGTACTTCTTTGTAGGTCAAACCATCCAACTTCTTGCTTTCCCCACATAGTAGGGACCCGATAAATGTTCCTTTATTTGGCTTTTATTTAAAACCCCTCAATTATTTCATCTGTCTTTTTATCAAAAAATAAGGCTATATGTTATAGTGAGGAAAGGCTTTGGTGAAGTCCAAATTCCACCTCTGCTAGTTAATTAGATGTGTATTCTTGAGCAAGTCCCTTAAATTCTAATCCTCTGACAATATATCCATATGACAGAAATAATAACAACCACTCACTGTTGATGATTAAATTAAATAATACATGTAAAGCACCTGACATTTAGAAGGCACTATAACCACAGATGGTAGCTCTGATTATATGTATACCCCTCTTTGAGCCCAAGTTCCTTACGTGTAAAATGGGAACATAGTAAAATTTAATAAAATTGATACTGCCTAGGGCCTGGTACATTTTAAGCGCTCATAAAATGTTAGGAATTCATTAACAACGCTATGTCTCTCTTTCGTCATACCTAGCCAAGCCACACTACCGTACCATACCAAGGTCTCTTTAATTTTTTCTGGGTTAAATTCTCTAGCAAAATAGATTCTTTCCTCTCAGCCTCTTGCAGCCTGAGACACCTCTACCAAAACCACATTCTACTAAACAGGCCCACGAGAGCCCAGAGGGAATGAACAGGGCTTGTGCTGCAGCTGTCTGTCTTCTGCTGGGGTCCTATTTCCAGTGAGCGGAAACTTCCCTTCTACCAGCTGTGCGGACTTCTCATCACTGGCTATTTCAGGACAGAGTCCAAGATAAGCTCTTCTCGGGGGCTGCCTTTCAGGGAAAGCTCTCTGGAGACTTCAAGCTCATTAGCCTGACCTTTCGTCTCTGGAGGAAGTGAGGAAATATCCTCCTGCTCTTCGAGAGTGGAGACACCAAGCACTCAGGGGACAGGTTTGAGCAACAACAGGGCAGAGCTAAAAAAAAAGGAGCCAAGATAAGACTGTTCCAGTGCACTAATAATTATAACAAAAATAATCTCTCTCGCTTGTGAAGGCTTTACAGTTTACATAGCACTTTCACACATATTAGCTTATTGGCTGCACAACACAGCCTCATCCTAAGAGTGACAGAGCAACTGTCATCTCTCTCCATTTTGCAGATGAAGCGAGTGAGTCCCGGAGTAGTATGGTTTGCCCAAGGTCACACAGCGAGTGAGCTGTCGAGTTGGACTAGAGCCCGTGTCTGCTGACTTCCAGTCCTGACCAGGCTTTTCCGTGGACTGAGAAGCAGTAGCGAGCCTTCTTTCCACTAGCATGAAAAACTGCAAAGTAAGAGTGAAGCACAAACGAGGTGTGGCGCCTTTTAAAAGTCCAGGTTTCAGAGAAGTGGCACTGTGGGCTCAGGATGGGGTTGCGGGGGCTGGGTCCCAAGACGAGAGCGCAAGGTGGGTGGTATTCCAGGGACGCCGGGAGTGGAGGCTGGAGAAGCCAAGGGAAAGAGTTAAGAGTGTGGGGTGGCTGCTGGAGGCGTCTGGATAGGAACCAGAAAGGACGAGAGATTAACGTGAAGTTCCAGAAATAAGACGAGGAGAATCAAAACCGGCTGGAATTTGAAAAAGTCTGCAGACACCGCAGTTGAGAACAGGAGCTTTCTCGCTATCAGACTTACCCAGGCAAGTTGACCTCTCAGAAGTAGCTCGACGGACAGCTCGACGGAAACGAAAAACTGCCTAGGAGCCCATGGCCCTTTGGTAGTTGTAGTTTCTATAACTCAACACTGGTGCTGAAAAGCATTTCCCGCCTCTCTGTTCTGAACTACAACTCCCGTGGTGCACCGTGAAGAATTGAGAATTTCGACCCGCCCCCGAACTACAATTCCCACAGTTCAATGCGGCCCTTTGTTACTGGGTGAAACCACCCAAGGCCCGCGACTCGGTGCGATTCCTCCACCTGGTGGTCAAGGAGCCGCCGCCACGGTTACCAGGCTAGAGCGGAGGTTTCTGCCTGTGGTCCTGTTGGCAACCAGCCACCTCACCCTTCCTAAATAATTCCCGGGCGTGCCAAGAAATACCGTGGTTTCACTTTATTTATACCGAGGTTTTTTGGGGGAAGGTTGGAATTGTTTCATGTCCGCCCGCAGCTTTGTTACCTTTGAGAATGCGACATTATTCAAGTTAAGGGAGCATTTCTTACCAACCTTTACCTGTTCACACGAGATTTTTCCATTGTCTCCCAGCCCCTTCATCTGCCCTCACGTTGCTGGCCCTATGCTGGTTCTTAGGGACACATTGGTGAACAAGATATTATCCCCAACCTCGAAATAATTCACAGTCTAGCAGAGGATTCCACCAAATGAATAATGACAACACAGTGATATCTACTCTAGTGGGGGAAACGCAGGGGGTTATGGGAGCCTTGAATAGTGGCACCTGCATAGGGGGAAATGGAGTCAGCAAGGCTTCTTAGAGATCTCACAGAGAAGTTAAAATTGAAAACTGGAGGAACAGAACTTAGGAGTACAGGGAGTGTGAAGAATATTTTACACTCTGCTGGAGCGTGGAGTGTGAGGAATGGAATGGAGAGAGTGAAAGAGACCTGGGAAGATAGGCAGCACAGCATCCTCGCGGGTCTTACAAGCTTCCATAAGAAACGTGGATCATTCAGGCAGCTCAAAAACTTCCAATGGCTTCCTACTACCTACTGAATGAGGTCCCAACTCGTTACCCTGGCGTTCATAGGCCTTCCCTAACCTGGTCCCCCACCCTCCTCTCCAAAAGCGTTGCATATGCCCATCTCCGACAGAAATCCCTTCTCTTCTGCCTTGCTCTGCTCCCAGCTACATTTACCTGCTCACCGTTGTGGACGTGTATTGGATTCTTATTGTTACTACCACACTCATGCTCTTCTAGGTACATTTTCCTGCCTGATGTCCTGTCTAAGCTTGTTCTTCCTTGGAAATTCCCCTAGGTCCTCCTTTTCTCTCCATGAAGCTTTTCTGGTCCCTCCAGTCCCAAAGGGACATCTGCCTCCTCTCTGTTGCTGGGGTATTTTTGTGTGCCTCTCATTTGGGGGCTTGCTTCATACTGCCTTG